GTTGGTGGCTGGGGGGCTAAGCAGGGTTCAGAAAAAGTGGCACTTTGCCTTTTCTTTCTATGTGGGCTTTCAAACTGTTGGGCTCTGCCTGTGAAAATCCCAAGAAAGAGTGACTGAACCTGCCATATAGGCTTTGTCAACAGTGATGTGTGGAACTGGCTTTCCCTCTTCCGTGTGTGTCTTAGCTCCGGGGTGTTCGAAATCGCTGAAGCCTCAGGAGTTAGAACTGGGACCAAAATCATCATCCACCTCAAGTCAGACTGCAAAGAGTTCGCCAGCGAGGCCCGGGTTCGAGGTGCGTGGAGCCTGGGCTTCTGGAGACGTGTGACTGGCAGCACCAAGTCAGTGAGGCACCTCCTACTGTGTGTTTTAGGAGATTCGGTCTGGGTGGGAGTGTTTGGAGGACGTAGGCAGAGCTGGCGGAGCGAGGGGTCTTCCTGGGGTTGGCTGCCCAGGCCCACTAAGGACAATCCCCGCTGGTTTCATGTGGAACCAGGAAGTGAGATTTAGCCTCCAGACTGGCAAAGTCAGATTTGTTTTCTCTTCCGCCCTTTGGGCAGTGTTTTGTCTTCAGTCACTTGGGGGTTACACAGTCCTTTCATCGTCCTGCCTTCATTGTCAGATGTGGCTGGCCTGCCCACCTGGCCAGCCTGAGCTCAGGCTGTACCAAGAACCAAGGCACGTGCTTCTGTGTGGGGGTGGGCTCTGTCCGTGTCTTACTAAATGCCTATTGAAGGTGCTGAGCGCTTTCCAGGGTTCAGTGTTCATAAAACCACATTTATGTCACCAAGAATGTGGCATGGTCTCATCATGGCCTGGGCCTTGAGACATCTGGTTCTGGTGTAAGCTCGGCAGGACGTGTCCTTGCTGTGCCTTGGCTTTTCACTTGTGACATGGACATGGCACTGATGAGTCCTCCCTAGCCTGCTGAGTTACCCCTGCAGCAGCTTTCAGAGCTTTCATCTCCAGAAGCTTCCTGTAGTCATCGCTGTTTTTCTTGTCTCTTCCAGATGTGGTGACAAAGTACAGTAACTTCGTCAGCTTCCCCTTGTACCTTAATGGAAAGCGTATTAATACCCTGCAGGTAAGACCTTCAGCTTCCTGCAAGCTCAGGCAGCTGTGGAGGCCCATTGGTACGTTTCAGATCTGGATGGGCTGAGATGGGACTGGGTGATGCTGTCAAAATCCAAAAGCGCTGTAGTCTTTGTGGAGAGGTGAGATTTGTGATGCACAGCAGGGTCCCCCCCTCCCCCCATCTTTGTGCACCAGGTGTAAGGCACACAGTGCACAGTTCACCATTTTATAGTGTGCAGGTCAGTGGTCTTTAGCGTATTCAGTCATGCAGTAATCACTGGTTAATTTCACAGCATTTTCATCACTCCAAAAAGAAACCCTGTACCCATTAGCAGTCATTTCCCCGTCCCCCTCACCCAGTTCTTGGCAACCACAATCTACTTTCTGTCTCTATGGATTTGCTGATTCTGGACATTTCATATAAATGGAATCTAGCATGATGTGGCCTTTGGTGTCTGGCCTCTTATCACTGTGTTTTCAAGGTTTAGCTCTGTGTAGCACTTATCAGTGCTGCATTCCTTTTTATTGCTGAATAATACTCCATCAAGTGGCTAGACCCTTCTCTATATCCACTTGCCTGTTCGTCGCTAGTATTCATGAAGTTGTGTGGGCATGTTCAGATCCTGCCTCCTGGCTGGCTCTCTGGACACACTGTACTGGGGAGAGTGTCCTTGTTCTCAGAGCCTTTTGTGGGTCTGTCTTTGTGGGCACCCTTACCCGTCCAATCTGGGATACCTCTTCCCCTAGCACTGGAGCAGAGGGGGCTGGTTGGAGGCAGAGGGAGAGGCTTGTACCTGAGGCCACTGTCCTGATTTGTCCCAGAAGGCTAGCTGGTCCTCTGCACGCCAGCACCCAGACACCATGAGCTCTACGAGCTCAGCTCCATGCAGTTGTTTGGAGGATGTGTCTTAAACATAACATCCCCTATTAATCTCGATTTTCAGGCTGTCTGGATGATGGACCCTAAGGACGTGGGTGAGTGGCAGCACGAGGAATTCTACCGCTACATTGCACAGGCCTATGACAAGCCCCGCTACACCCTGCACTACAAGACAGATGCCCCTCTCAATATCCGCAGCATCTTCTATGTGCCAGAAATGGTGAGCACAGGCCTGACCAGCCACCCCCAGTGTGCTGAGGCTGTGAGTGGCTTGGCTGCACCTCCTTGAGTCGAGGCATCCCCAATGGTGATAGTGTTTTCCATCATCAGAGACACTTTCTCTGAATGGGAACAGTTCAGCACAGACATCACAAAAATTAACTTGGCAGCATCAGAGTAAAAGAAAAACCAATGCCTCTGGGGGGTGAGGGCGGTGAGCACAGAGTTGTTTTTCTTTTTAAATTAATTTTATTGGGGGTAACATTGGTTAATCAATTATATAATTTTCAGGTGTACATTATCACTTGACATATGTATATTCTACTGTGTGTTTATCCCCAAAGTCCAGTTTCCTTCGGCTACCATTATGTTTGATCCCCTTTACCCACTTCACTCTCCCCCTACTCCCCTATATTTGACCCCCTTTACCCCGTCTACCTCCTCCCTCTTCCCCCACCCCACTAGTAACCACTACTCTACAGTCCTCTGGTAACCATTAGTCTATAGTCCATGTCCATGAGTCTCTGTTTGTCCTGCTCATTTGTTGCTTTTAGGTTTATATCCCACATATAAGTGATATCATGTGGTTTTCAACTTTTTCAATCTGGCTTATTTCGCTTAGCATGATTTTTTCAAGGTGCATCTATGTTGTCGCAAATGGCAGTATTTCATCTCTTATGACTGAGTAATATTCCATTGTATATATATACTACAGTTTCTTTAGCCAGTCATCTATCGCAGTACACTTCGGTGAGCAGAATTTCAAAGCAAGAGAATATTTTACATGGCTTCCTGCAGTTGGAGTGGAGACGTTCGTTTGGCCGTGCAAGCTTCGGCTTTTGTAGACAGGGTGCTGGCTGGGTACCTGCAGGAAGGGTCCTCGGAGCAGCCTGAGGGCTTTCTCTGTCTCCTGGCAGTGCGTTCCTGAGCTCTGCAGTGGGATGGGGTTCTGTGGTGCTCAGATGAGTGTGCTCTCTCCATCTTCCATTTTCCCCCAAGACTTCCTTGTTCTAAGAAAGCCTGCAACAGGGAGAGCTGCTCGGGTTAGACTCAGCCTCTCCTGGCGCCCTCTTAACGCCCACACCTAGTATCTGCTTTCGAGAGAGCTATTCTCCACCCTCATTACTGAGTGTGCTCTGCAGACCAGCAGCACTGGCATCTCCTGGGACTTGTTAGGAATGCAGAATCTCAGGCTCCCCCCAGGGCCTGAATCAGAGTCTCCACTTTAACAAGATCCCAGCATGATATGTGTGCAAATTGCAAGTTGCGAAGCACTAGTCTAGAGGAAGGATTGGCAGACATTTCTGTGGAGGGCCAGGTAGTGTCTGGTTTGGGCTGTGCAGGCCACACCTAGCCAGGGAGGTCTGCCGCTGTGGCATTAAAACACTGTAGATTGTGTCTAAACCAGTGAGTGGAGCTATGGTCCAGAAAGCTGTAGACACTGGAATTCATATTTCACGTAGTGTGAACTATTTGTTTTTCCACCATTTAAAAATGGGAAAACCATTTTAGCCTACACAGACCAGGTGATGAGCCAGATTTGGCCCGTGGGCTGTAGTTTGCTGACCTCAGGCCCTTGGCAGGTTTGGTTTTGTTCATGGGGACATCAAGTCTTCCTTTTTTATATCCAGAGGGGTGTACGTTGGGGAGGGCAGCAGCTGCCCAGAAAAGGCCCCCTGAGAGCCCTTATGTAGGAGTCCTTCTCAGGCTCTGGGCTTCTGAACAGACAGACATGGACGGTCTCCTGGCCTATACCTGCCTCTGGATCACCATAGATCCATTCCACAACTCCCAGTCCAGGGCCAGCGTTGGGAGGGGGGTTCTTGGCATTGTCATCAGGGCTCCCTTATGATCTTGTAGGTTCTGCCCCCAAGGGGGCAGCTTACACTGCCCTTTTCTCATCCTCAGAAACCATCCATGTTTGATGTGAGCCGGGAGCTGGGCTCCAGCATCTCGCTGTACAGCCGCAAAGTCCTCATCCAGACCAAAGCCACAGATGTCTTGCCCAAATGGCTGCGCTTCATTCGGGGTATGTGGCCGTTGCCTGTGCTCAGTGTGTGCCCTGAATGTAGCCCAGGGACAGGAGTGGTTCCCTGAATTAGAAGGAGCTTTTTTATTTTTATTTTTTTTTTTGGATTTTTATGAGTTTATTTGAACCAAACTGATGATATATGTTGGGGACCAAGTTCTCAAATGCTCCTCAGAAAGAGCTCATCTTTAGTGAGCATGGGGTCAGGGAACCCTCCTAGGAAGCTGCCCACTTCCAGAAATTAGTCTTAGTTGATTTGGGAGAGGGGGATGGATGAACATGTTTAAATTATTTAGATATTACATGAGTTTCAGATTTATACATGAATTCCTTTGAATTTGAGTGAGATTATAGTTTAATAAAGAACTCAGCATGTAAATCTTTGTATTTTTCATAGCACACAAAGGTGCAAAATACCCACAACATATTTATGACTTTGAACATAAAATCCAGGAAATGGTTTTCAGGGTGTCAGACTGGTCCTGAAATCTTAGAAACTTCCCTGGCAAAGGCTCTGGCCTTGCCTGCTTTTTTTTCTGATCACATCCTGACCTAGGCTGTCTGCATAGATTCTGGGACGTCAAGACCTGTAGGGGCTGGGGCAGTGCTGAGTCTCCTGTGGGCTGTGAGGGAGAATGTGGAGGCCTGGCAAAGACCCCGCGGAAGAGTAGGCCAGAGCCTCAGGCACCTGTATGGTCTTAATGGGCATGTGTCTCACCAAGGTGTGGTGGACAGTGAGGACATCCCCCTGAACCTCAGCCGAGAGCTCCTCCAGGAGAGCGCTCTAATCAGGTAAGCCACCAGGGGATTGAGGGGTGTGGGTGCCTGCCGAGACGAGGGCTTCACTGGCTCACCTTGGCCACCAGAGGGCCCTGGAGGCTCAGAGCAGCCAAGAGCAAAGCAAGGAACTGCAGTGAGGCCATGCCAGAGGAGCTGCCCGTGTGCTTGGAGAATGCATGCAGGTCATGTGTGCTTTTGCTTCACGTTTTTATAAAAAGGGCTTGAGGACTGACCCATTGAGGAAAATTATTGCCTGTGCTGGGAGATGTTACTTCTCTTGGCCAGTCTCTGCCACCTAACCCCAGGTGGGCACAGTTGCGAGAAGTCTAGACATACTGTCTCTGGGGCAGAGAAGGCACAGGGCAGCCACAGAGCCAGGATTACCTCTGACCTTGGTCCCGGAAGATCACTGACGGCATGAAGGAAGCAAGGGTCAGGCATCGGACCCACTTTTGTAGTAGCCGCTCTTGGAATCCCTGTGGGCTGACATGGCTGCAATTCTCATGTCACATTCCTGATGGTAGCAGTAGCTACTGTTAGTGTTTATTCTCACCCAGAACTTTACTGGGCTTTCAAACAGCACTCTAAGGTGGGAACCTCTAGGTCCTGTGTCATGGCTGCGGAAACTAGTTAAGTCTCGCCAGCCTGTGCGTGAACCTGTATCTGAGAACTCATGTTTTCTGACTGCGGACACATGCTCTGTCCCCGGCACCAAGGCTGCAGGTAGGGTATGTCTTGCCATTTTGTTGCTGCTTGTGGTTTTCATTGTCAGATTGTCAGTGTGAGATTCATCTTGACCAGGAAAGTCAGCTTTAACTGAAATGTTTGAAAGAATCAAATTTATAAAAATGGTGGAAACATGATACAAAGTATATTTTCCCCCCCGAACCCTTTGGAAGTAAGTCATCTGCATGATGGTCCCCAAATATCTTAGTATTTTTTTTCTTAGGGTGTATTTCTGACAAATAAGGATATTCTCCCCCTAGCCCTAGTACAGCCTCCAGTCAGGGAGCTGACTGGTGCAGGACCACCAACCATCTTGGACAGATTCACGTCCCACCTCTTGTGCTGTCCTGTTCTTTGGAGTAAGAGGGTTCAGTCCAGTCACAGGTGCTTTTAGTTGTCTCATTAGCCTCCTTCAGGCTGGCTGAGTTCCACAGCGTTTCCCTGACTTTCATGAAGATTTCAGGCTAGTGACTTTGTAGATTGTCCCTCAGTTTGGGTAGTTTGATGCTCCTTCAGGGTTAGGAGCAGGAAGAGCATGAAATGACTGCATCCTATCAGGTGGGACCTGACTTTGAGTTGTTCTTTACTGGTGATTTGCATGTCAACACTTGATTTAAGAGGGTACCTGCCAGCCTTCTCTGTGAATGTTCTTTTCACCTTTATAATTAGTACATCACATGGGGTGGTATTTTGCAGCTTTGTGAATAGCATGTTGCTTCATCAAATTTTCAATGTATTCATTTATGTGTTATTTTTTAATATCTAATTTGTATGAATTGATTTCCTTTTGTTCAGTGGTTATTGTCATTTTTTATTTTGATTCTCAAACTGTCCCTGATTTAACCAGCGGGAGCCCACTCAGGCTATCTGCTGAGCCATTCATGCTTTGAGTAATTCCTTACTTCTGGCACAAGATGTTTCAGGCTCACCTGTGTTTTGAGCTTTCATGCATCATTTCCCAGCCCTGGAATTACTCATTCCTCCAAGGAGCTGGGGTTTGTTTGAATGGAGAGTGGTATTAAGCCGCCAAGATCTGGGTACTTGGGGATGCCACTGCTGTTGGAGTGTCACTTCTCCCAGGCCTTCTTAGTGGATAGAGTGGAGGAATATGAGAGTGTGCGCGTGTGTGTGTGTTTGTATATATCTGCATCCATACCTGTTTTTGTATCTACCGAGTTCACCCAGTGCTACCTGGCACCACCAGGACTTCTTAGTCTTGCCCCTTCCCTGTTTGTTCCCTTTGATGATGAGAATTCTGCCTCTCATTATCCTTCCTGTGTTACCTTTGACCAGTCCCCCTCCATGTAACCTGTCTGCTGCCACTACTGCCCTCCCCCAATTTGGGTGTCCCCTTCACCCACTTGGGCTCTGACTCCACAGAGTAGGCTGCCTGCCATCCTCAGCCCAGATGCTCCCTGTCAGGCTCCCCACACCCTGGCCCTTTGGGGACTCCCTCCTGGGGTTCTACGCCTAGTTCTAGTCACTGTGGCTCCCCTGCCACAGGTGTGGGTGCTGGCTTGTCCCATTCCATCCTGGCTGAAGGACTGAGTCATTCAGGATGGGAGTGGAAGAGGAAAAGATTAAATAAATGTTAAATATTATTGCTTCTCTATCCTGGATTAAAGAAATACATGATGATTTCACTTTTATAAAGGAAAGGCAAAATATTAAGTAAAAATACTCCTAATCCCACTAATAAAGTTGCTTATAATTTTATAAAAAAGTTTTGGTGGTTTTTTTATTTTGACTTTTTACATTGAACATAATTGTTTACTAACATTTTTAAATTTCAACTTTATGGGAGGTCTAATTGACATAAAATTATAAGATGTTTAAAGTATGCATCATGGTGATTTGACACGTGTATACATTGTGAAAGGATTCCAAGTTGCTCATAATTTTATGCTGTAGTAAACACCCTGATCTACAAAATCCCAACCTGTAGAATTTATCTTTGTATATAGCAACGTCCAACATAAAACCAAGTTGTAGTATATATCATGTATACAGTGTTGATTCTAATTATGAAAAACTATTACATGTAGAAAGTAGTATAGTCTTTGCATACATATGTACTATAAGTACACTGTAATTTATCTATATTGGGATTTTCCTGGGATTTTTCAGTTTGACCTCCTGCCTCTAGGGGGCTTGTGTCTTCCTACCTAGTTTTTGCCAAAGGTTGGCTTTTCTTTTTGCTTCATCTCTTTTAGTTTGGCCAACATGGTATGTTTTTTTCACTTCTTTGATTATAGTGGAGCTGAACATTCGTCCTTCTGGCCATTAGTACTTCATAAAAGTTGCTTGTTCATGATAAATGCATTTCTGTTCTGCAGGAAACTCCGGGATGTTCTGCAGCAGAGGCTAATAAAATTCTTCGTTGACCAGAGTAAAAAAGATGCTGAGAAATATGCCAAGTTTTTTGAAGATTATGGCTTATTCATGAGGGAGGGCATTGTGACCACTGCTGAGCAGGAGGTCAAGGTAGGTTCTGGGTGTCTGGGCCTCTCTCTGTGCTGCCTTGGGCTGTGGAGGGAGCTGGAGGCGGCCAGGAACCTACATACCCCAGAACATAATGGCATAGCTGGACACCCCAGCCACTGCTGCTTGGAGGTCAGTAACATGTGGCCTCTGGACTTCTGTTGGCGACTGCAGTAGGCTTAGCATTGTGTTCAGGAGCATCAAGAGTCTCATCTCCTTTCATTCCCCTTGCCTGAGGCTAGAAGGAAGTAAAGCATACACTCTGTCTCTTCCCACAAGGGGTTAAGGGGCTCCAGAGACCACAACAGGCAGGGACAGGGTCAGGTACTGATTCACCAGGGCAGGGAAGAGCAGGTACAGTTGTCATGGAAGAAATTGGTAGGAATCCTTTCACTGGAGCCAGAGTTCAGTTCAGCATTACATTTTTTGGCCATTTAAAAATTGCAACATAATTCACACATCATAAAATTCATCCTGTTAAAGTGAATGATTCGGTGGCATGTACTCCTTTCACAAATTGTGTAACTACCACCTGTCTAGTTCCAGAAAATTTTTATCACCCCAAAAAAGACACCCGTCCTCAGTGAGCAGTCAGTCCCAGTGCTGGGATTTTATCTTTTGCTTTAGAACAGCAGCAAGGAAGGAGGGTGACCAAACATCTGGGGTTCCCAGGGGTAGTTCTTTCGGCCATGGGGGAGGATGGGTCTGGGGCACCAGGCATGCTGAGGCTCCCAGGCTACGTCTTCTGTGGGCCCTCCAAGTTCCTGGTGGCCGGTAGATTCACTTGGCTCCAGGCACAAGCCTATAGTTTAAACTCTCCCCTGATACACATTTATCGTATTTTTGGTTAATAGCACCTCAGTGGTGTTCACTACATGCCAGAGGCTTGTCTGAGCGTTTTATAAATATTAACGCAGTGTGTTGGTGTTTGTTAATGGGGGCCTAGAACATGTCCATGAGCACAGGCTTAGCGTCTGAATCAGAGCATGACTCACCAGGTGGGGTCCCACATCCTTGTTTTTCTCCTCTGTTCACCTTCTGTTCACCTTTCACCATCATGTTACTGTTTCATTTGGACCTAGCCCTGTGGGTGCCCTCCAGGTCCCTGTGTCCCAACCACTTGCCGTGTTTGTTGATGAATCAGTGGTGTAGAGAAAGCAGAGTTGATGTCTCAGGTTACATCCAGGCTGGTGGCATCAGGATCCAGATGTCCAGCTTGTTGCTGCTCTTCTGTCCTCATCAGGCAGCTCCTACCAGGAATCGAGACAGCAGTCACATTGCATTTCACCTGACAGGAAAGAGGACAAGTCCCTCCCGTAAGGGCCTGTTCTCCAAGTTGCACACTCCACTTGCACCCACTTGGCCAGGGCTAGTCACCTGGTTGGAAGAAGGCTGGGAAATGTGGACTTCGTACTGTGTCCATGAGCCCAATATGACTAGGGACGGAGGGAGGACTCTCTCCACAGAGCATTCTCTGCCACATGGAGAGTCTGGCTACTCCTAGGGTTTGCACAGCTTACCTAGAAAGCAGCTGTCTGTGAGGCCCTGGGCCACCGGGGGTGGAAGGTGCTCTCTCGAATCCCCTGAACCTTTGATGTGGGGCCTGCTGGACACACCACCGTGGCCACCAAGGGCTGAGTCAGTCTAGAGGCCATCTGTGGGCCAGGCCTCTTCACGAGCTGCCCCGACTGAAGAACGTGCTGGGCCCATCAGCAGGGAGTGAGGCCAGCAGAGCCTCCTCTCCCTCTAGCCATGGGCTTCCCGAGTCAGTGCCCAGCTGTTTAGGAGGCTTTCGGAGCGATAACCTGGAACCAGCAGTGACCTGCCTTTTGTCCACAGGAGGATATTGCAAAGCTGCTGCGATACGAGTCCTCGGCACTGCCTGCCGGGCAGCTGACCAGTCTCATGGACTACGCCAGCCGCATGCAGGCCGGCACCCGCAACATCTACTACCTGTGTGCCCCCAGCCGGCACCTGGCTGAGCATTCGCCCTACTATGAGGCCATGAAGCAGAAAAACATGGAGGTAGGTGAGCGATGGGGCAGGTTCATTCCCCACAGGCTGCCAGAGCCAGGTCAGAGGACAAGATGGTCTGAGCACCCGGAGGTGGTTCTCTGCGCTTAGTAGAAAGTGGCTGAATGTGCCCAGGACCTGGGAGAGCCATGAGTCAGCGTCCAGGGACACAGAGGCCCGGGCTGAAGTCTGCCATCTGATTTATATCTCTGTAGGAGGTAACACAGAGATTTCTTTTTAAGTAGAAGTCACTATTTCTACTACTAAGACATAACCGGAACCTCCCTCAGCACCGTCTGGTAAACTGCCTCATCTACAAAGCCCAGGAAGCCCCAGCATCTGGTGTGGCTCTTCCAGGACTCGGGGCCCAGCCTGCAGCCTTCACTCCTTCCACCCTCTCTTTGTCACGGGCAAGTCTCTGGGCCTGACGGATCTGTCCTTGGGCCCTTGCAGGTTCTCTTCTGCTATGAGCAGTTTGATGAGCTGACCTTGCTCCACCTTCGTGAGTTTGATAAGAAGAAGCTGATCTCTGTGGAAACGGACATCGTCGTCGATCACTACAAGGAGGAGAAGTTTGAGGACAGGTCCCCAGGTCAGTTCTTTCCTTTCTGGGCACAGATGTGTGGGTGGTGGCCTGGGGGTGCAGGTGAGGCTAGGACAGGCCCAGGGACTGATACAGCAGGGCCTCTTCCTTCCCGCAGCGTGGGTTTATAAGGATTTTCAAGTGTCTTTAGATTCTAACAGAACTGTATGGGCCTCAGGGCAACCAAGTGTCTTTTTGAGGTCCAGTTTAACCTACTGAATATTACATGAAAAGCATCGTTCATGGTTTCTTTGTGCCAGTGACCGGGGTTGGGGGTGGGGATGAGCCCACTAGAAACTTGGCATTGGGACATTTCGGGCCCCCAGTGGGAATGAGGTGGGAGTTGTAGAGAACGGCCTCTGACCTGACTGACTTCTCTTCTCAAGCTGATGACCGCCTGTCAGAGAAGGAGACAGAGGACCTGATGGCCTGGATGAGAAATGTGCTGGGGTCTCGTGTCACTAACGTGAAGGTGAGGCTTTCTGGAGACAGCCTGCCACCCGGCCCCCATTGTTCCACTGACTACATGGCTGGCTTTGAGTTGCTGGCCTGCTGAGAGTTCATCCAGTAACAGTCGAAGCTGTGATATGTGGGGGTTACCAGGCTTGTCGCTGCTGCTTCTGAGTGCACACTTACATGTGTGTAGCTACAGGCACCCAGGGGTGTTGCTATGGCAGGACAGGCAGGCTCAGCTGGGTCATTTCCTCCACTTTAGAGAGCAGTGAGAACTGAGAAAGTGAAAAGTAAACGGCCAAGGGTCTGGTGGGCAGATAGAAAGAGGGGTCCACACCTGGCCACCCTAGAGTTGTCCTTTCCGGGCCCCAGGGGAGCTGCAATGGCCAAGGATACAAGGGGATGCCCCAACCCTTAGAGAGCTTATGGTCTAGCTGGAGTTTTAGTGGGGGAAGGGGCTTTAGAGAACTAGGAACCAACCGGTCCAGCTCTCAGCTATAAGAGGAAGACAGTCACCAGAGAACAGGTGTCCAGTGCAAGGTCAATGGTTCAGGGACAGACCAGGAGTGGCCCCAAGGGACAGGCAGTTATGCAGGGTAGGGATGACCAAGAGCAGAGGGGGGTGGACTCAGGTGGCTATGTGTCAGGTAGCAGCAGGGCACAGGTTGAAAGGGGAAGGGCTCTCGGCAGGAAGCATCGAGAGCCAAGTGTGTAGCCAGGGTTTCACTATGTAGCTGTTCACTGTGTCCATTATGTCATTATGATGGGGACTCAATTTAAGCCTCAGGTGACTAATGAGGGAGGTAGAATTATCTTCATCCTATGAAGGAAAGGCAGAGTGCATCCCCAGGTCACATAACTAGGACATCATGGAGCTGGGATTTGTTGGAGCTCAGGTTCTCGGTACCAAGCTGCCAGGGCATGCCATGGGCCCAGCAGGCCCAGTAGAGTCTCTGGCACAAGTGAGGAGGCCCGAAGCCTATGGGGTGGGTGGAGGGGAAGGTGGCTTGACCAGGGAGTGGGGGTTGTGACGCTTACTAAGAAAAAGTGTATTTGATTAAATCAGGCCAGAGGGAGCCAGAGACAGTGAGATCTGCAAGAAGGACGGGATTGTGGGAAGGGACTGCAGACAGACCTGGGAAAGTGGAGCGTCTAGGCCTAGGGAGTCTTAGTCACTGTAAGACTTGGCAGTGGCCGCAAGAAGAGAGGTGCAGGTTACCACCAGGCAAGATGGTCCTTGGACAGTAACTGACACATTAGAAACTGGTGGCTTTTGGGGACAGAAGAGGGAGTCCTCAAACAGGATGTTGTTCTAAGAATTTAGTTTGGGGCAGCAGTTCAGGCTCCCTTCTTGTTAGTGGGTGATTTGGGAGGTAGGGGCGGGCATTGGAGTCTGTGAGAGTTCGTCCCTGGAGACCTGTGTTCTTCTGCATTGTCATCTGGGGAAGCTTCACACCTGGTCAAGACTGCTGGCTCAGGGTCCCTCACCCCAGGGTCCCCGGCCTTGCTTACAGATGACTCTTCGACTGGATACCCACCCTGCCATGATCACTGTGCTGGAGATGGGGGCTGCCCGGCACTTCCTGCGCATGCAGCAGCTGGCCAAGACACAGGAGGAGCGTGCTCAGCTCTTGCAGCCCACATTGGAGATCAACCCCAGGTAAGGCTGCCAGCTGATGACCAGAGAACAGGCGTGCTGGTTTGACCTGCCAGCTAATCCTTTAAAATCACGTGTGTGTGTTTATTCTTAACACATAGGAAAAGTACATAAAACTTATCAATATTTATAAGGACAGTAATTAAACTATTCAATTTAACTTTGAACCTTGCTGGTCTTCATATGTTCCCCATTTTCTTTCTACTAGAATTCTGCCCCTCTCAGGTAATCACAGTCCTTACTTTTGTGATAATCATTTCCTTGCTTTGCTTTATGGTTTTACCATGTTTGTTTATTCCTAAATACAGTTTTGCCTGTTTATGTGAAGTCTTACTTTCTTCATTCAGTGCGTGAGACACTGTCCCCATGGAGGGTGGCTGTAGTTTGTTTTCACAGCTGAGTAATGTTCATGGGTTGAATCTGCCTCAGCACAATTATTTATTCTAATTAGATGGTCATTCCAGTAGTTTGTTTGGGGCTATTGAGAACAAGTTGCTCTGAACATTCCTGTCTCCATGTCTGATGCACATGGTGGTGCATGTGTGAGTTTCTTGGGTTGTGCACCCAGGCGTGAAACTGCTGTGTCCTTAGCTGGGCTAGGTCATGCCCAGCTGCTTCCAGAATACTGGCACCAGCTCCCCCAAGCAGAGCATGAGAACCTGTAGGTCCCTCCGTTTACCTAAGGCCTTGGCTTTCTCATAACATGTCTTATAAAATTTTCTTTTTTCTTGTTGGATTCTTTTTTAAAAATCGACTTGTAGCTCTTATGTATACTTTATCAGTTGCAAATTTCTCTTCCCTCTGTTTTTTCATCTGCCTTAAGATATCTTTTGATGAGAAGTTTTTAATTTAAATATAGGTGCTTTTTTGAGTCTTAAGAAATCTGTCACCAGAGTTATGAATTTGTTCTGCTTCCTACCCACCGATCCACGTTGCCTTTTCTGTCAAGTGTCAGGCGTCTGTACACATCAGTCTTTCTGGGTAACTGTGCTGTTAACATTCATCTTTCTCACAGTTTCTGTATTCAGTAAGCGAGTTCTCTTATATTCCTTCAAGGATGTCTCGGCTACTCTAGGTCCTCACTTGTGTTTAAATAAATTTCAAAAGACTTGGTAGCTTTATGTCAGTTCTTTCCATCTGTGAATGTAATATATATTTACTAGGTCTTTTGGTAACGTTAATATCTTTTGGTAACGTTTTCTATAGAGTTCTTATACATTTTTTAATAGTTTTTGATGTCTTGTAGATTTTGTAATTTTATTTTCTAACTGTTGAAGGCATTTTTATGGAAGTTGATTTTATATGCAGCAATTTTAAAAATGGAATTACATAAACAATTCACCAAAAATGTTGAAGAAAAAACCCATGGCTTTACCCGCCACAATCAGTGTAGTCAATTTGGTATATGTTCTTTTGGACTTTTATCTCATATTTTGTGGGTTTTGTTTTTCAGTATATAGTACATGTCTTTTTTCATTTATTACTTTATCAAAATTATTTTTCCATGTTGCTTTATAACTGTAAATTTTATTTATTGTAAACTGCTGGGGAATAGGGGAGGTACCTTTTTCGTTTTCTGAGCCAAGTTACTAGACATGGAATTCTCGAATGAAAGATGTTAAATTGGCTAGTAGCTAGTCATGCAGTATGTCAGACACCTTTCCAAAAGACCTGTACCAGTTTGCATGATGTGCTTCCCTCTCTGGGAAGGAATGCAGCTTCCAGCTGAATCCCTGACGAAGATGGACGCTGATGCTGACTGGACGCTCACTCGATTTAACCAGTCCTGGCACAAAAGTAGTTTCATAAACTGTGTGGAAGAGCTCATTTCTATTGCCAAAAAGACTTATTTTTTAAAAGCTATTTGTCTTTAAAATTAGCAATATGTTCACATGGCTTATAATCCAAAAGAATCAAAGTTAATAGTGAAAGTTCTTCCTACTTTTGTCCTCGATATAGCCTCATTAGGTTTCTCATGTATCTTTCCAGAGATACTGTGTGCTTATGCAGATTCATCTGTGGCTTTCTGTTACACAAGTGGTAACTTGCTGTGCAGTGTTTCTGATTATAAATAGTGCTGCGAGGAAAGGGAATTGCTAAGTCTCAGAGTACTGTCCATGTTTAACTTTTATAGACCTCAGTTGTCTTCTAGCAGTTAGACAAATATGATTCCCCAATGCCTTCAGTTTTATCAAATGTCTCACTTTTTTCCATTCTCATGTGAAAAATTAAAATATCCATTTTTTTTTATGAGTAAGGTCAGACACTATAGTTATAGTTTTTCCTATGCAGAAAAAAAATCAATTTTTTACGTAGTCAATTATATTATTGACTTCTGGGTTTGTATTTTGCTTAGAAAGCCTTCCCTTTCTGAGATTATAAAACTTTTCTTCCATTTTCTTCTAAATTTGATACCTATGCAATTTACTTTGGTCTGAGGAATCAGATGGGAATCCAACTTTATTTTCTAGTTGGCTTGCCAGTTATCCTGTTTCATTCTTGTGGAATATTGTCTTTAATCAGGTATGAATGAAATTCCCAAATGCCCTTGTGTGGGGGGCTCTTTATATGTTATCTCCTTTTTTGCACCGAGTTGTTGGCTTTTCTAGAACTAACCAATTTAATTACTAGAGCTTTATGATATATTTTAACATCTGAGACTTCTTCCTCCAGTTTCTAGATTTCTTCTTCTATGTTTTATTTATGAATTTAGATTATTTAAGTATAAAAATTTTTAGTATAAAAGAATCATATTAAATGTATGGATTAATTTAGAGAGTTTCACTGTTAATTACAGTCTGCTTATCCAAGAACCAGCATATGCCTTTTCATATGTTTCGTTTTGGTACTCACTACATTTTCTAATATCAAAATTCTTGACTGTTGGGACTTGGGTTTTCTGGGTGTGTAATCATATTTATCTGTCAGTGATCATTCATGTCTCCTAATTTTTATGTGCCTTTTTTTTTATACTGGACTGTCCTATTACACTTTTTTGAATATTCTGATTATTCTCAAAACCTCAGAAATTAGAGGCCCTTGTGCTGGGTGCACAGTTCTGAGAGAACTTCTGGGGGTTTCTGTTGCAGGCACATACTGATCAAGAAGCTCAGTCAGCTGAGAGAGAGCGAGGCTGACCTGGCCCAGCTGCTCATGGAGCAGGTGAGTCTCCTGAAAATAGGCTGAGAGCAAGAGAACAGAGGCCCCAGGCTGCCAATTCTGTGAGCCTGCGTCTTCCTTTGAGGTGGGACAGCTCAGTTTCCTCTAAAACCCTGTTTTTAGAAGGAGCAGCTCTCTTCCTTTAAATGCATTAAAATGTCCAAGTGCTGGAACTAGGACTGGACCGCCCTCCTGTAAACAAGATTACCATCCTGTCTTTCAGATCTATGAGAATGCCATGATCGCAGCAGGGTTGGTCGATGACCCCCGGCCCATGGTGGGCCGCCTGAACAACCTGCTTGTCAAGGCCTTGGAGCGACACTAACAGCAAGAGGCTGGGCCCGGTGGTCCACGGTTGCAGCACAGCAGCTGTGAGAGCCCCCAGGGGAAGTGATAATGGAACCTGTGCCTCTGCTGTGGCAAGAGGAGCCAGAGACCAGCTGGGAAGAAATAACTGTCACCAATAACACCCCCTTTTGAGCTTTATTAAATTAAAAGGTATTTCCTTCATCTAAATGTTAAGACTTTTTGTGCAGAATGACAAGGTAGGTTATTCTGGTGACACAATCCCATGCTTAGGACAGAAGCTAAGAAAAAGCCTACCTTCCATCCCCTTCCTCAAGCTGGGGGTGGGGAAGGGGACAATGGCCCTGTGCCCAACTCCATTCCTAGAACCTGAATATGACAACAGGATCAGCCGTCATGTGCAGGTCACCAGGGCCCATTCCTATCAGGCTCTCTTCAGTGTCACCTCTACCGGATAATGGTCACTGATGGCTTGGGCCTGTGGAGGAACATAGCAGTGAGCACAGGGATGCTCATGCGGCAATACTCCCTCAGGGCCAAGACTTGGCCCCACGCATTGTTCTCTGTTCATATCTGCCTGGGAAGAGGTTCCCAGGGCCACACACAAGTGGCTCTTTCAAGTCAACAAAAACAGTGATTGCTAGAAGTCTAGATCTCCCAGGCCCCCATTAGAGTTACAGCCTGTCTAAAGGATAGTCACGTACAGTCTGGTCACTCAGTCCATATGCAGCTTGGAAGTCAAAGGGAACAGCTGAGTTGGGAACAATGGCGTGTTGGAGCAGAGTTCCGGCAACCACGATCCTGTAGTGCCAGACATGAGAAGGTTCCCTTGAGCCCACTGGCTCCTCACATTTAAACCTCAGATCCCAGCACATCCCCGCAGCTCCCGTCTGGCCTGCGCAGCCCCTGGTGTCACTGCCCACCCTCCCTTCCCCGACTGGAGCCTGAATCAGCCAGATTCAGGTCTGTGTATGCCCAAACTACACCACCGGCTGACCTGTATACCTAGATTGTTCAGAGGAGAAAAACTAGCATCATGTTATCCCTAAATGTGCTTTTCCCCAAATTAAGGACTGCTACTTTTTATTCTACTTCCTAAGTGGACTGAAGCTCAGGAGAGGTGTCTCCTTAAAAGCTCTGGAAACCATTTTTGAAGCTGGGCCTAGACAGATGTCACAGCCACTCATGGAGGTGCCCTCATCCCTACTCTGAGCCTGCAGGACCCACTGGGGGCACGGACCCTGCTAACCTGTCATAGGCGCAGTGCGTGGATTTAACCGTGGTATCAGCAGTGTCAGGAATCAGCCACTGAAAGGCGGGGCTTGTGCGCAGGCGGATGGACGACCAGTGTGAAGGGGACACGTAGCTGCAGCCAGCATTGAAGTCACCCATCAACATGATGTCCTACCAGGAGACACCAGCCAGTTGGCCAAGGGACAGAACAGGGGCCTCTGGAGCCCAATCTGGGGGGTGGGGAGCAGGGGGGGCGGGGCAGGGCTCACCTCTATGTCCCACTTCTTCCGGACATCCAGGTAGACATCATAGAGAGAGTCAATCTCAGCCACTGCATCTGACGGGGCCGCATGCAGAGGGACGATGGCAAACTCCTTGATTTCTGTGGAGAAGGTAGTCATACTAAGGTGTTGAGGGGCAGGCTTGGTCTGAGGGTGCATCAGCCCAGCTCAGTCATGTGTTTGGGGCTGGATGGAGGACAGAGACAGTCTCCGAGAGGTAGATGTTTTCGTAAGTAACTTCAACATAAGACCAAAGCACTAGGCATAAGGAGGCAGCAGGTTATGTGGTCCCCCTGGGAAGGGTTAGCAGGGACCGACTTGTTAGGGCAGAAGATCCTCTGCAGCCCAGCACTCACGGGTGAATGGGGAGAAGAACTTGACAATGGCTGGCTCTCGGCTGAAGGTGTCATTCCCACAGGGCTCACAGCCATCATCATACTGGTAACTGTCCATCGCGGACACCTGGTCAGGTCTGCAGAAGGCCAGGCCAGAAGGTGGTTAGCCTGGGCCTGGGGGCACTGCTTTATCTCACTAGACCCATTGCTGCAGGCAAGGGGCCCAGTCTAAGCTCAGGCATCACATAGCAGGGACCTAGGAGGGTGAGTGGCACAACTCAGACCCTGTTCTCTGTCCTCCAGTTTTTGTCTCCTAAGACTGCTGCCCCCACCCCTGGAAGAGGGGCTTATGGGCTCTCTGGATACCTCTCCGGCCTTCTGTTGGTGCCCTTGGAGGAGGTGGCCCTCTGTCTTGGTGCCTGGGCTTTACCTGAACACAAAGAGGTAGCGCTCCTTGTAGCTGTTGCGTCCCAGTGGCTCACTGACTACGTAGTGATAGGTGTTGGGGTCATCCCTGGATTGAGGAAACGTCCCAGTTAGGACAGTCTGCCATCTACAGCAAGGCTCCTACCCACATCATTGTCCCTGGGGCCTAGCTGAAGTAGCACTGTGCCCTGAAGGGATGGTCACCGTCCCCCATGTGCCTTCCCAGGACCCTGCCACTGTCACCCACTGATTGAGTCTGTCCAGCAGCTTCCCCACGGCTGTCAGGTGGCTGTCTCTGACCTCCTGGACCAGGGCGATGTCGTAGCGATTCAGGATCTGGGGAAGGGGCCACAGCAGTGCTGAACAGGAGTGGGCTGGTTGGAGACCAGGATGTCTAGGCCCTGCCTACTCCAGGGGTCCCTGCAGGAGCCGAGCTGCTATTGTCCAGGGTGCTTTTAAATGTTTGGCCTGCAGCCTGATGCTGTTAGCCATAGCAGTGCCAAGGGCCCTGTCTCCCCGACTGACTGGGGAGCTAAGAGCAGAGGCCTGAGTCTGATTGCCCTCAGGACTGACCGCTGATCCAGTGTTCCCAAGGCCTGATAGAGCACCCCTGCCCCTGGGTTCCTTGGGTACAAGCTGACCTGGACCTACCTGTACAATGTAGGTGGAGAGGGTGGCATTGGACATCTTGGTCTCCCCAAAAGTCTGAATGTTGAAGGCTGCTATTCTCAGGGACAGAGCTACATGCAGCACAACAGTCATGGCGAGCAGCAAGCCCATCAGCCTAGCACCCTTCATTCTGGAGGAGGGACACTGCATGTGGGTCTAGGGCAGCAGAGACAGTACCCCATTTTTCCTCAGAGTCCACCAGGGTGGAGCTGGTGGAGCCCAATGCTGAGTGACTTGTCTGGACTGTGCTGAGCAGCCAGGGTAAGCCTCAGGCCTCTCACCAGCAACCAGAGAGCCAAACACTAGTGCCAAAAAAGGACCCCAGGGTCTCCTCACCCCTCCATCCGCCAGAAGACAAGCCCCTGTGAGGGTTACCAGTCTGAGGAGGCCCCTGGCACTCTGGTACTGGGACAGTGGCTCGCTGCCTTCCCTGCTCTACACAGTAAGGACTGGCCAGGGCTTTACCCAGCTTGGCCACAATCACTCAGCTCTTGGGGCACCAGGCACACTCACCTGAAATGTGACTTCTGCAAAGATGGAGATTCTGCTGAGTCAGGAGTAGATGTTCCTCGATACTTTCTCCCTTTGCTGCTTTAAGAAAAAAAAAAATTTACAAAGGGAAGTCCATTAAGGAACACAGTTGAGAGGCTCATGCAGAGCTGCTGCAGCTCTGAATCCTGCACAGAGAATGCTCGACCCCGCTAGGGTTTTAAAGGTTTCGGCAGCTGTGACTTTTCCCAGGGTATCACCTGGAGGACACAGAACAATGACACTGCCTGTGTGGCTTTCCCACACAGGTGAATGGTTGGCATGTGTTTATTTCAATAGGCACAGGTTCTTGCTGCTGTAAAAAGAACACCCGATAACATCTGCACTTGGTTTCATAAAGTCTAACAGGGCCAAAGGTTCCTGTGTCCTTCACAAACATCATTCTCCCAGGGATGGGGAGCAGGTGTGGGCTGCAGGGCAGGGCCCTGGCTATACTCCTGTATGCAGGACTTGAGATGACCTTGGAGCCAGTGGCCAAGGCCAGAAGTTGCATGTTGCTAATGGAGCCCATGGTGGCTGCTCTGTAGCTCAAGACCACACCAGGTCTCACTAGTCCCAACCCGTTTCTAAATCCATCAGCTGTTGAGGGCTACAGGCAACTTGGCTAGAAGCTGGGGCTCTCTACAGTGTACATGTGAGCTGCAGCACTGGATGCTGCAGGGCTTGGGTGCCAGGAAGGGGTAGGGACTGCAGGGCCCACCTCAGCTACCAGCAAGGCAGTGGTAAGGGGCCTTCTTGAGGCAAACAAGAGCCTGTGCGTTACAGGCACAGGTGACCTAAGTGACTGAGTTACAAGACAGACAGCAGCTGAGCGTCCATGACAGGCCTTGGGTCCAGTCACTTCTTTTTGGAATCCTTGACTTCCCTATTTGTATTCATTTCCTGTGACTGCTATAACAAGTCACCATAAACTTGGTGGCTTAAAATGACATATTTATTCTCTTAACAGTTTTAGAGGGCAGAGCCCGCAATCCACTTCAATGAGCTGAAATCAAGGTGTTACAGTGTCATATTCCCTCTGGAGACTCTAGGGGAAGGTCTTTCCTGCCTCTTCAGCTTCTGGAGGCTCCTGGTGTTCTTGGCTTGTGGCTGCATCACTCCAGTCTTTGCCTCCATCTTGACATGGCCTTCTCTTCCGTGTGTCAATTCTCCCTCTGCCCTGCTCTCCTAGAGATATAGATTATTGAATTTAAGGTCCTCCTGGATAATTCAGGATCATCTCCCCATCTCAAGATGCTTAATCATGTCTGCAAAGTCCTTTTTTGCCTTAGCCCTACACACATCAGGTTTCTTTTGAAGCCATTTGTTCCTAGCCTCAGTGCTTAGAGGACTTTTTCTTTATCCTTTCATTTTAGGCTCTTTGTGACATGCCATTACCCCTTCCTGTATCTGGAGCAGGTTTAGTTTAACCAAAGAGGGTGGCAGACTGTCAGGGTTAATGTAAAAATAGCTCACCCTGATCAAAGGAAGTTGTCTGCTATCAATGCCCATTTTCCTGC